AGGGATGGATGGATGGATGGATGGATGGATGGATGGATGGATGGATGGATGGATGGATGGATGGATGGATGGATGGGTGGATGGAGGGATGGAGGGGTGGATGGATGGATGGAGGGATGGATGTCCAAATGTCCTCAGACTCACCATGAATTTGAACAACTGCAATCAGCAACCTCCACTGCTGGATGGTTGCTCAGTCACACAGAGTAAGAACCTATCCAGGCTGGGGTCTGGAGCACCCTGGGRTAGTGGAAGGTGTCCATGTCCATGGCAGGGAGTGGGATGAGATGAATTTTAAGGTTCCTTCCAACCCAAACCATTCTGGGATTCTGGGATCCTCCCCATGTGGTCACTGGACCCTCCTGACACCGCTCTTGCACCAAACAGAGCAGCACTGTGCCTAAGGAAGAGCTTTTAGCACTGCTGGCCTGTGCAAACTGGAAAAGCAGCCAGATTTTTCCAGTCTGTTATGAGCTGGACCAGTACAAAGTCTAGAGATTACAGGTCTGGATTTGCCCCCTGCATCAAAGGAGTTTCCAAGCYTTCAAGGAAAAATCCCAGAGCCCCTATGAAAGCCAATGTTCTGCTCAGCCCAGGGGGATACACATTGTGCAAGGGAAAGCAAATCCTGTGGGCAGAGCTGAGGCTTGGACAGGGAGAAAAGGCTTGTCTGAAATAGCAGAAACAAATGTGTGTGTGTATGGCAGAGAGAGAAGAGAGGGGCAGCAAATTAGGTTTCTTTCTTTTATTATACAGGATTGTATGTACAAGGTCACCTCTCTCCCAAACATCAGCGTCACCGTCAGTTCATAGCCAAACCTGCAGCTCATCTCTCCAGGCCTGGAGAAAGCTCTACAACGGCTCAGGACAACACCGTGCAGGCAGAGCACAGGAACCGGCCAAGGGGGCAGCACGGCTCTCCCTCAAACCCTCCTCAGACAGCCCAAAGAAATGCAAAGAAAATACTGTGCTTCRAGAGCCATGCGTGCTCCAGGATGGCCCCAGGGGCAGGGGAGTGTCACCCCCGGAGCTGCTTTGCCCTTCACCATTCCAAGAGATGCCRCGGATGAGGTCGGAGCACTCGGGACCAGCTGGGGCCAGGTGCTGTGTGGGAGGGATTGGCCAAGGGAAGGCGGGGACACTGGTCTGGGCTCCAAGCACTGCTGTGTGTGTGTTCTGGAGGGGAACGGGGTGGGCAGGACACACCAGGTCTGAATAAAGTGCTGKGTGAGTTTCAGTCCCATTACCCCAGGAAAATGGGACAAACCCCAGAGGGAGGAACAAGGAGAAGGGCTGAGGCCTCTTRCGTGCAGGGGTCCCACACTGAACCCTCTGCTCACAGCACGGGGCAGGGAGCAAAAGCAGCTGGGATCTGGAAAGCAGGGGAGGTGCTGGCACACCCACATGCACCGTGCTTGGGGGATTCCTGTGCCAGGCCCTGGCACGCTGTCGCCTGGTGCTGGAGCTCAGGCAGGAGCAGGAGCTGCAGCACTGCTCTCTGGGCTGGGGCAGGAGGAGGTGTGGGCAGCCAGGCGATGAAGGGGCTGATGTCTCTGGCTCCAGGCTGCAGGAGTGGGTGCCCCACATCCTTTCCAGGGAGCAGCTGGTCCAAGGAAAGGTGCCTGCTCACACCCCTCACTCTGCAGAGACTTGCTCAGCCCTTACACGGTGGAGAATGAGGACACCAAACTGGTGAGGGGGTGTGTGCTTGGTTTCTCCTGCTTGGCATCACTTGCTTTCCTGCAGCTTCCTCTGCCCTTCCCTCTTCAAGCAGCTTTTCACAGCACAGCACCTGCTCCAGCACCGACTCCTTTCTGCCTGGAAGTGACCATGGACACACAGCAGCTCATGGAGCACAAGAGATGTGACAGGAGGTGGCTGCTCTGGAGGACAGCTCACCCCACACCTCTGACTCAACTGCATCTTCAGCACAAGAACACAGATTGTCCAAACCGAGACAGTACTTTTCCCTCAGTTAGGAAATGCTCTGGCTCTCACCTCGCACAGGAAAAATGTCTTTTTGGGTTGGGCTGAGTTCTCCCTGCTCTCCTGCAAGCAACTCTGGAACACCTCTGGCTCCCCTGGGGACACACCTGCTCTCCTGGTGGCTCTCTCCCTGGTGGCCCTGGGTTGTGCAGGTCTGGCTCCTGCCTCTGCTTGCTGCAGAGCTCCGAATCCATGGCAGGGGTGGTGGGGATCYGCTGGGAGGATGAGTTTTCTTTGCCTTTGCTTTACAGATGGATGGAAGATGTCGGGCCACGTTTCTCCTTTGAATGCCAGGTAGAGATGACAGCAGCACTTCCATTCAGCTTGTCTTGCTCAACGTGCCAGGACGGGGTTTTAGCCTCGTGCTCTCCTCACACTGTTGCTCACAGCTGCTCTGGGTGGGCTGCAAGGAGACAAGGGGGAGCTACAGCACTGCTCTTGAACCCCAGGGATTTGTCATTCAGGAAAGGGGGTGAGGAGCTGGCCAGGGACCCTGCCRAGCAGCCAAACTCCACGCTAGGAAAACACAGAGGATCTGTGGCAAAGAGCATCTCCTGAAGCAGGAACCCCCCAGCCCAGCATGCCCAGCATGAGAGCTTTGCCTCAGAATGAGCAGGGCAGGAGCTGTACCTGGTTACTGTAGTCTGGCATCCTCCACATCTGTGTAATGGCTGTTCTCCTGCAGGGAAAAGGGAACCACAGACAGTGAATCACCCCATGTCCCTGCTGCCCTGCCTGGCACACTGTGACACCTGGCATGTGGTCACCAGCTGGTCCCCTGGTGTGSGAGAGCAGTGCTCAGTGGGATGGAGGAGCTACAAAACACACCTGGTATGGACACCAGGGGCCAAGGCTGTGCTTCTGGCACAGAAAGTACCAGGCAAAACCACAAATTTCCTCTGGTTCCTTACTCTGCAATGGCTCTGCCAAACATCTCAGACTTGGAAAAATAGAATCACAGAATCATTTAGACTGGAAAAGACTTCCAAGATCATCAAGTCCAACCATKMACCCAGCACCTCCATGTTCACTTCACTGGGCAACCTGTTCCAATACCTGACCACCCCTTCAGAGAAGAGATTTCCCCAATCTCTGGTCTGAACCTTCCCTGGCACAGCTTGAGGCCTTTTCCTCTCATCTTGTMTCTTGTTCCCTGGAGTTGCCCAGTGATGCCAAGGTGCCTCAGTCCACAATGGCAAATCAGTGTCCTGATTATGCTCTGAGCACAGAAACTGGGCCCAGTTTGCAGAACTCCTCATCCAGAATGATAACACTCATTTATCACTCCAAAGGCCTCAGTAATGGTGCTGAACTGCTCCTCATGCTGGGGGTTTGGAAATCATGGAGGGTTGTTGGACTGATCTGATGGTCTTGGCAGTCTTTTCCAGCCTTTATGGTTCTCTGTGGAATTTCCTCCAAGAGCTGTTGTGCAGTGCAGCATCATTGGGAGAATGAGGTGCTCAGCACTGGTGTTTGACTTCCTGCAAAGAGTGAGTATTTCAGAGCTGGAAATGGATCCAGGAGCTGTCTGCAGGGGACACCAGGGATTCTAAAAGGAAAGGCAAGGGAACAGGCTCTGCCTGAAAGCCAGGGGAGGTGGCCTTGCTGTGGGCAAGGCAAGGGAAGAGCCCAGCTGGACAGGGATTGTTTTGGGACACGTCATGARCCAGCTGAGAGCCTGTGGGTGAGGATCAGGGCCAGCCCAGCTTGGGTGCCATGACATCCCTGCACACCCCTGGCACAGAGTCTGCTCCGGAGGGCTGCAGGGAGCTCTTGGGAGGGACCTCCACCACCCTGGAATCTGGGGGGAAGGCAGCAGAGCAGGAGCAAGAAACAGGAGACTTCTGGAGAACATAAGTTGCTGACTCAGTGGACTAATGGCCAGGGAACACCTGGTCAGGGACGTGAAGGTGGAGAGAAGCCTTGGCTGCAGAGCCCATGGGACTGTGAACCTGAGTATCCTGAGAGAAGTGACCAAGATTGAGAGCAGGACCAAATCTCTGAATTCAAGAGAGCAGATTTTGGGTTGTTCAGGGATCTGCTTGGCAAAATCCCATGGGAAACTGCTCTGTGGGCCAAGGAGGCCAGACTGTGTGAGACTTTCAGTGAACACCCAGCACCAACCCCAACCCCCCGCACCAACCCCAACCCCCCTATCTGGATGCAGACGTGGCTGATAGATGACCAAAAGTGCATGAAAACAGAAAATCTGTTTATGATCAACCATGGTGTGCTGTGAATACCCAAGTACATCAGGATTCCTTTAGCTCCCTCTCCAAAGCAGCTCTCCCTGTTTGTGTGCAGGGATCTCCCCTAGAGCAGGGATGTCCCTCAAGAGACCCCTCACCTGACACCAGGCACTGATGGGCTRGCAGGTGACATTTCTTGCACACATGTAACATTTAAGGCACATACACAATAATGTTTGTAACCCATACCAAGTGTAGTAAATAGTACCGGCCACCAATACAACTGCTCTTACTAAATATTTTCCATACCCAAATTTATGGCTCAGAACTCAAGAAAACCCCATCAGCTGTGTCTGAGTGACCTCTGACTCTTCTCCTGCCAGTCCCCTGCCCCTCAGWGCCAGAGGGATTTTAGGGACCCCACTTGGGTGCCACACCATGGACAACAGGTGGTGATGGCCACACTGGTATGTGCGAGCCAGAGATGTGGGATAAAGGAAATCACTCGCCAGGAACTGGGAAGACTTCAGAACTGCTCAGAGCTGTGAGGTCAGGAACAAAGGCTGGTTTTGGTGAGCTGCCTTGCACGTGTGAAGCTCCCTGCAGACGACCTGCACACCATGATCTGACCATGCAGTGCACTTGGGAGCCTGTCTGAAGCTGGCTCTGAAATATTTCTGGTCTTGATGACACATCAGGACCAGGGAGATACAGAAAATAGAGATGTAAGTGAGCTGAAATGTTCACCTCCTCTTAATGAAGACCAGCTCTTCCCAAAGCCTTGCCAGCAGATGTCTCTCCACTCTTTACTCTTTACCCCAGCAATGGCAGAGAAGTGCACAGGTTTTGTTGACAGGCTGTGTGCTGCTTTATCATCATTAACACCAGCAAGTTTCCCCCTATTTCTACCATCTGTTTCCCTTGATGTAATTCAAACCTGGCTTCCTTTTCCTGACACAGAGCTTGTGCCTTTCTTCTTCCYGTGTCTGCTATGACACCTCCCTCCAAACAGCTCCCCCAGATTTGGCAGGGCTGATGGACTCCAGCCACAAGGACCCTGTTCACAGCCCTCATCCATCATGGCTCAAGCAGCACAGAGCAGGAGAGCACAAACCAGCTGGGAAGGGGCTGGAGCTGGAGGAGCCTTTTGGCCATGGGAAGGGCTGTGGATGTCCCCAGGGATGGTGGGGTGAGGAGAGGAGCGGGATGATGAGCTTCATCCTCACTTCTGGTGCCACCAGGACCAGGGTGGGGAGGGAGTGGAGCAGTTCCAGGGGCCATTCAGGTCATGTCCTTCCATCCCAGAGCCCTGCTGGCCCCAGCCTGGATCTGGAGCAAAGTTTCAGTCTGGGATAAATGGGAGTGCTGCCAGTGGTAACACAGTGACCTGTTCTGTACCCAARCACAGGGTTCCCACCCAAAGGCGCAGATTTGTCCCTGGGCTCACCAGGAACACTCCTGTTTGGGGCAGGACAAACAGCAGAGGGGCTCATGTGTGCTGACACCAGCTGTGCTGGTGCTGCCCTTGCTGGTCAGAYCTTGGTTTTTGGGCCATGGGACAAGTCACTCTGGAGAGGGATTTTGGGCAAGGGCCTGGAGTGCCAGGACAAGGGGGAATGGCTTCAGAGTGCCAGAGGGCAGGATTAGATGGGATATTGGGGATAAATCCTTCCCTGTGAGGGTGGGGAGGCCCTGGCACAGGATGCCCAGAGAAGCTGYGGCTGCCCCTGGATCCCTGGCAGTGCCCAAGGCCAGGCTGGACAGRGCTGGGAGCAGCCTGGGACAGTGGAAGGTGTCCCTGCCCATGGCAGAGGRTGGGATGAGAAATTCTCTAAAGTTCCTTCTGACTAAACCATCCTGAGATTCTCTGGATGTCTGGTCAGATGCACGGGCACTGCAAATTCAGCTCCACTAATGTGGCCTTTGCATTGTGCTTAAATCCATCTAAGAATTACTTGTCAACAGAGCAGTTTGGTTTAAACYACTCTTGGCTGTAGAATCAAGGATAAATGTGATCTGAATTCCAAGAGCCAACCATTTTTCTTCAACATCTCCCCGTGTTTGCATGGGCAGTGCTTTTGCGGCCACAGGACAGTTTGGAGGAACAAGCTGTGAACAACAATCAGATTTAAATACAGCTATTTCTTTGCAGGAAGGAAAAACTACTTTTCCTGGGAATTCAGCAAGCTCCAGTAAAGCTGTGGTCTATGACTTTGCTGCAGGGATGTGTTCTCCAGGCTCTCTTACCAGTTCATCTTCACCCTCGTCCCGTGCGAGCCCCTCCTCCTCCCCCTCGTCCCCGTTGAGCGGCTCCTCGGTGTTGGCCTCGGCCTCGGACGCTGTGTCCTCCTGGGACACCTCGCTCTTGCTGCTCTCCGCCTTCTTCCGCGCCTCTGCGGAGCGACAGCGGGATCAGGSCCGGGAGCAGGGCCTGAGCCCACCCCGACAGGGCACAGAGCYCCCACAGCCAGGCAGGGGAGGAGTGACAATGGTGGAAAGGGTTCCTGCAGTGGGCAGTTCTGCTGGCTTGGAGGGAATGGCCTGGGAGAGCGTGGAGAGGGCACAGATGGTTCTGCATCCCCAGTGGGACTGTGGGAGCCAGGCAGGAGAGGATGGGATGGGATGGGATAGGGTAGAATAGAATAGAATAGAACAGAATAGAATAGAAAAGAAAATAGAAAATAGAATAGAATAGAAAAAATGATAGCATAGGATAAGATAGGATGGGATGAGATGGGATGGGGATTGGGACAGAATATAATAGACTAGACTAGACTAGGAGATAGGATAGGACAGAATAGAACAGAATACAAAAAAAGGATAGGATAGGGATAGATTAGAATAATATAACAAAAAAGCGAACAAAAAAACCCCAAACTATATGACAAATGGAAAAAAATAATCTCATCATTTTAAACCCCAACTCTGTAATTTCAGGAATTTTGGTGTGTAATTTTGGCCTCTGATTCTACCCCGGAACCTGGGGGTGACACGTCCCTGTCAGAGCCTGGAGAAAGTTGTGATGCCCAAGGCCAGCCCCAAGGCGTGCCCGCACCCCACTGACCTGCAGACAGCTTCTGTTCCTCAGCAATCTGCTCCAGCCGGCCCAGGAGRGCATCAATGTTGGATTTGATCTGCGTCAGCTCAGTTTTGATTGTCTGCAGCTCGCTGCTCTTCACTTGGAGAGAGGAAGGGAGGAAAGGAAAGCACTCAGCGCCCTGCAGAGCACCCGCGGAGCAGCCCCACCCCACGGCTGGCCCAGGGCACCTCCCTAAGGCAGGCTGGAAAACCACGGAGGAACACCAGGCTGGAAACTTGCTGGGAAGCGGGGGAGCTGCTCCCCAAAGAGCCTGTGGGTGCTGTGTGTGGCCAGGCTGTGGGGCTGAGCCCGGGGGAGCTGTGTGCGGCCAGGCTGTGGGGCTGAGCTGGGGGAGCTGTGTGCGGCCAGGCTGTGGGGCTGAGCTGGGGGAGCTGTGTG